TAATATTTATAATAAATTATTAATGACATAATTTGTAAATTAATAAATTAAGAAAGGGACAAAAGCGTCCAAAAATGTTTCTCCGAGATCCTCCCTTTTTAATATAGTATAGATATAGATGTTTGGTTTGCTCACAATTTCTTTACCATGATTTAATCTTTGTGGGAAATACATTTCAACTATTAGTCAAATTTACAAAACTAATTTTCAAATTTTATCTTGGATTTTAAAAATGGTTTTAGAGAGTGGATACAAAGCAAAGAAATACATAAGCAGTGAAAGTAGTGTTTACAAGTTTAATTTTAGAAAACAAAAAATAAAAAATGAAATGGTGTTATCAAATGATGTCCCACAACCCGACAAACCCAACCCACACTTTAAGGGTTGAGTTGGGTTAGATGAAGCCTCGGGATATATATATCTTTATCTTAATCTTATCCGTCCATCTAGTTAATCTAACTCCCCATCACGGTGATAATTAAAAATTAAAAAAAAAAAAAACAACCCAACAACCCGACAACCCAACCCAATGACCATCCAATTCAAACCCGACAGTTCTTATATATAACCAAAAATTTGGGTTGGTCTCAAAACTCCTCCTAACACCCGACTCAACCAACCCGTAAGCACTTCTTCTCAATGGTAAAACGAGAGTCGTTGGGTCCAAATTAAGTGAAAGAAAGGTCATATAAAATCTTTCGAACAACATATATGGTATAGAATTTTTATTTGATGTTAGTTAATCTTGTAGTTTAATGCATTTCTTCAATTGAAAAAGAAAGAAATAACACTTGAAAGATGTTATTTGACAATGATCGAAATAATAAATATATAATATTCTTAAACTGGAAATAGGATGTTCCAGAACATCAAATTGTCAGTTCTACTACTTCTACTTCTACTTTTTAAAGTCCTTTTCTGTCAATTTTTTCTCAAACTGAACACAGGATTAAATGAGTGTTGTCCTAGTCCAAATTAATTGACCATTGCCAGCCGTATAAGAAATTTAATTATCTTCTCTAAAGTCCAAATTCAGATCTTTACCGCACATTCGTTAAACTCGAGAAAAAAGTGAACAGTTTCTCTCTCGATATAGAAAGGTTGCCAGCTAAACCAATTGAGCATAGCTCAATCAGTTAAATAACTTAATTTCAGTTATCGTTAGCTATTTTTAATGATCATTAAAATTATATCCCATAATAAATAAAATTTGTACAACATATTATATAAATTTTTACTGAAATATTAAGAAATTGATATTCTTTATATATTTTTATTTCCAATAAAGA